CCAGGTAGACGCAGTCGAGCCTGTCGAGGTAGCTGTTCACTCTGGTGCTGCTACAGGTGCTCAGCCAGCGGGTGCTGGGTCTGGAGGTGCTGAGCCTGCGGGTGCTGAGTCTGGGGGTGCTGAGCCTGCGGGTGCTGAGATTGGGGGTGCTGAGCCTGGGGGTGCTGAGTCTGTGGGTGCATAGCCTGGGGGTGCTGAGTCTGGGGGTGCGGAGCCTGGGGGTGCGGAGCCTGGGGGCGCTGGGTCTGCTGGTGTGGCCGCCGGCGGTGCTTCGTCGAGGCGGGAGCCACTCTCTCCGCAGGAGCTGCGCGAGTGGTTTGCCCGGCGCTCGAGCCGTGCTGCTGGAGCTGGAGGCACTACTGTTGCTACTGGTTCCGGAGGTGCTCGTACTGGTGGTACTAGAGCTGCTGGGACTGGGGGTGCTGCTGGAGCTGCTGGAGTTGGTCATGTTGGAGCTGCTAGCGGTGCTGGAGCTGCCGGTCCTGCTCGAATCGGTGCTGCTGGAGCTGCTGGAGCTGGAGCTACTGGGGGTGTTGGCGCTGGTGTTTCTGCTGGCGCTAGTGCGTCTGAGGGTGCTGGAGCTGGCGCTGTTGGAGCTGGAGGTGCTGCTGGCGCTGGTGCTGCTGCTGGGGGTACTGGTGCAGTCCCTGCTGGTTCTGGAGGCGCTGCGCGGCCGAGGCCGTACTTCGTTCCGCTCCTTGAGCAGGTTCTTGGTCTCCCACCCTCTACTGGTCCTGATCCTCCCTTAGAGTGTCTGCTGCTCGTCTAGTCGCAGTCACAGTTACAGCCTGTCTCCCCTCTTCCTGCTCCTTCTCCCTACACTAATCCTACTGGAGGTCTTGCTGAGCGTCGTGAGCCTGCGTCTCGTCCTGCGTCGCCTGTTCGTGCTGCTCGCACTAGTCGTCGAGCTCCGCGTCCGCGTCCTCCTGCGCTCCCAGGCACACACCAAATGGCACTGCGTCCTTCCACTGCTCTTCTGCGTGTCCCGTTGCCGTCTCCTCCAGAGTCATCTCTTCCTGTCCTTCCTGACCCTGAGTCTGACTCTATTCGTGCTGCCGGTCCTACTGTCACGCGTCTCCTGGCCACTGCTGTCACTGACCCTTCTTTTGAGTCCACTGCTGCGTCTGCCTTAGTGGCTGAGCTTGTCGACATCGCTGCTCGCTGTCGTCTAGACTACGCCACTAGTCTTGTTGCTGAGTCCGAGTCTGTCTGTCCTCCGTCCGTCGGGGGTGGGTATGCTCTTAGCACGGACGTCCTTGAGGACAGGCAGGAGGAGTTCCAGTGTTTTGCTGCTGCTTTGCCTCATCTCGTGTCCACGCTGATTGCTCCTGAGGGAGACCCGGATGCACCAGACATCCCGACTCCTCGATCGTACGCTGAGGCGATCGAGGGTCCCTACTCCTCTCAGTGGCAGCCAGCCATGGACGCAGAGATGGCTTCCTGGAAGTCCACAAGCACCTACGTCAACGAGGTTCCCCCACCTGGGGCGAACATCGTCAGTGGCATGTGGATTTTCAGGGTGAAGCGGCCGGCGGGTTCTCCACCTGTCTTCAAGGCGCGTTACGTGGCTCGAGGCTTCAGTCAGCGGCAGGGAGTTGACTACTTTCAGACCTTCTCTCCCACCCCGAAGATGACCACTCTTCGGGTGCTGCTGCACATAGCCGCTCAGCGCGACTACGAGCTTCACTCTCTTGACTTCAGCACAGCTTTCCTGAAGGGCAGCCTGCACGAGGAGATCTGGCTGCGCCGCCCACCTGGCTTCACTGGGTCGTTTCCTCCTGGTACCCAGTGGAGCCTCAGGCGGCCAGTCTACGGTCTCCGCCAGGCGCCCCGTGAGTGGTACGACACACTGAGGACTACACTTGCGGCTCTTGGGTTTGCTCCTTCTACAGCCGACCCGTCGCTATTTCTGCGCAACGACACCTCTTTGCCGCCGTTCTACATCCTCGTGTACGTCGACGACTTGGTCTTTGCCACTGCTAACACTGCTGGACTCGCCCACGTGAAGTCCGAGCTGCAGAAGAGACACACGTGCACAGACCTGGGTGAACTGCGCAGCTACCTTGGCTTGCAGATCACCCGGGACAGAGCACAGCGCACCATTACCTTGACTCAGTCACACATGGTGCAACAGGTTCTTCAGCGCTTCGGCTTCACGTACTCCTCCCCTCAGGCCACTCCTCTGTCTACTCGCCACTCGCTCTCAGCTCTGCCTTCGGATGAGTCCGTAGAGCCGAGTGGCCCGTACCCAGAGCTTGTTGGCTGCCTCATGTACCTGATGACCTGCACACGACCTGACCTTGCATACCCTCTTAGCATCTTGGCACGCTATGTTGCTCCTGGGAGACACCGACCAGAGCACATGGCTGCAGCGAAGAGGGTGTTGCGCTACGTGTGCAGTACGTCGGGCATGGGGCTAGTGCTTGGAGGGCGACGTCGAGTGGTCCTCACAGGTCACGCAGACGCTTCTTGGGCTGACGACCAGCCGACACAGCGGTCGTCACAGGGTTACACCTTCAGCCTTGGCTCCGGCTCTGTTTCGTGGCGGTCTACCGGCTCGACTTCTGTTCTCACCTCCAGCTGTGAGGCTGAGATCTACGCGGGGGCCATGGCTGCACAGGAGCTACGCTGGCTCAACTACCTGCTGACTGACCTAGGAGAGCCGCCTCGTTCTCCTCCAGTTCTGTACGTAGACAACAAGGCCATGCTGGCCTTGTGTCGGGAGCACAGACTGGAGCACAGAACGAAGCACATTGCTCTTTGCTACTTCCTGGCTCGTGAGCTGCAGCAGCGTGGTCAGCTCCGCCTCACCTACGTGGCCTCTGAGGCCAACACTGCTGATATCTTTACCAAGGCCCTTCCGCCTTGTGATCATCAGCGCTTCTGTGCTAAGCTAGGTCTTGTGCCTACTTGGCCTCACTTGCTCACTTCGTGACCTTGTTTGTACTGTACTCTTTCTATACCTGCACTTGCTTGTTTACCTTTATATATATGATCTTGCATGTGAACTGGCCTTGTGGCCTTGCTCTTGTGCTCGGACTGTGTGGTGACGTTGTGATCCACCCTGAGCTTGTTTTGCTTTGCTTGACTGGTCTTGTGACCCCTTGTTCTCCCCCACTTTGCCTATGGGGGTGTGTCAGGCATATATGCGATAGTCTGTGTAGGCTGTAGTGGGGCAGTTCATATGGGGTACAACACTTTAGAGTTTACTACTTGTACTCCTCAATCTGCTCAATGCACTCATTCCTCGTTTCTTATCTCTACTGCGCTGCCCACGGGCAAAAATAAAACCCATATAGGTAAGGCATGCGTTAGGGATGCACCAACCCTAAGCACCTAGAGGCAAGGTGTTTGGGGTTGATGCCTCTCTAGCGCATGCCAGGCCCGAATGGGTTTTATTTTTGCTTGCGGGCAGCGTGAAACAGAACTTAACTAAATTTCTCTTGAATTTTGTGATAACAATAAAACAGATCGCGGTTCATGCGATCGAAGGCATGCCACGTGGCGATAATAAAACGAACCGCGATTCCGCGGGTTTGAGCAAAACTCTCACACCATCTACACGGTGAAGTTGAAGGTTCTCCCAACCCAACCACCAATCGATGTGTGAGTCCGGTGCGGTGCAGTGCTTATTGCGCATCTTTTTACAAAATCAATTAGCCATCCTTGACGATTGCACGCTCACGCGTGCAAGGAAATGAAGCAGTGGGGTGTAGATCTAGCTGCGAAACTGACGTCGAAGTCTTATTCGCCCTGACGTGCTATATTGAATTGTTTTTCCGCACGCAACGATTGCCTAGCTGTCCATTCTCAAGGAAATGGCGTTGCATGCCCACGAAATTAAAGGCAGGGTAGTTTGAGTTTGATTTACATAAGGTCAAATCAAATCACCGCATTCTTCCGGATAAAACACCCTAGGGTATTATGAAAACCACTGGGAAAAAATGGGGGGGGTCTCCTCAAAGGAAAATCCTACATAATACCCGGGTCTAATTATATGGTATATTTTTTATCAAGTAGAAAAGATGTGAAACAAAATCAGGTGTCTGACTTCACTTCAAGATTGTTGACCAGTGCCGCAAAACCGAGTATACGAGACCGCCCACTGGAATCTGCCACGTGGCATATTCGAGTGGGCAATTTTGGCACTTGATAGGGTGAAAACAAAGCCAATTGTGTGGCGAGGGTTCATGCAACCGCCGAGGCCAGAATCGCGCACGGTGGTGCGTTCTTACTGTACCAGTCACTTCTTGACTGGTTTGGTCACGTGTCTGTGCCTCATGTGAGAAGGTGATTTTCACCTATTGGGCCACTTGCAGCGGAAGATTCGCCAGCGTGGCGACAGCGAGATTGTGGGAGGGGGGAAATCTTGGCAGATTTTAAGTGAAAGTACACGCGAAATTTCACCTAGGGAGCAATTCTCGCGATATCCTCCCGTAAGGAATCGGACTCGATAACAGCTAAAATAGGAATCTATAAGAAAAGGGGGGTGTTATAGAAAATCACCCCAAAAGGGGGGGTATAGTACAAACGGGGTCGGATATAACACCCACCCCGTATTAGCTACCCGGGGGTGTACAATTACGGGGGGGTGTTTTATCCGGGAGAATACGGTACATGTATAATATTCGCACAAGAGTTAGTTCATCTATTCTTAGAGTTCTTAGAGCCCTGAGACTTCTATTACAAAAGAAGCTGCTCTATTGGATCAGCAACACGATTTGCATATGCCAGACGAAAGGTAATGTTTCCTTCGCGCAATTCTGGAAGTAGACTTGTGGGATATCGTTTTTGTGAGCTTCAAGATGCAACTGTGGTGAGCCTACCATGCGCAATGGACATTATTAAAGAATAGGACTGGGACTCGAAAAAATACTGCAGCGAGTGGCGAAAGAGAGCTGAAGACAATGTGAGAGAAGAGTGGAGGGTGCAGGCAGAGTGGCAAAAGAGAACTGACCATGTGTGGTCACAATGAACAGCAGTCTTAGAGCGGTTCCAGTTCACCCCTTGGAGCCTCCACCCAGCACACCAGCTCTGGGCACACGCAGCACTTTCAACCAGTTCTGCCTTGCCTTGGAATTCACCTCCCCAGCATCCACAGCAGAAGCAGACCGGGGCACTTGCTTCGGCAGACCCGAACCTGTTTCCAAGGCTACCCCGAAATCTGTACCACAATCTTGTGGTGGTGGATCTTGATTCGAGCCAGCGGCGTTCCCCCCAGCCTCTGTGCCAGGCTTGGAAGGGTTGGAGAGGAGCGGAGAAAGCAGGTGCTTGAAGCGAGAGCGGGACAAAGTGTGGGAGAGGGAGGAGAGGAGCGGGCCAGAGCTGATTTTGCTGGCGGCCTTTTGGGTCGGCTCAACAGGCACGTCGCGAGACAAGGTTCGGGACAGGGAGGAGAAGAGCGGACCGGAAGTGAATTTGCGGAAGGGCTTGTGCGTTGACTCAACAGACACATCGCGGGACAGGGTCCGAGACAGGGAGGAGAAGAGCGGACCAGAGCTGAATTTGCGAAGGCTGCGAGAGGCAGGAGACGAGAGGGTGGATGAGTGCGGGAGGGTGGGGGGGAGGGAGGCGTTGGCAGGTAGGGAGGCGGTTGGGGAGAGGATGGATGAGTGCGGGAGGGTGAGGGGGAGCGAGGCGCCATGGGGGAGGGAGGTGGTGGGGGAGAGAGCGGATGCTGCTGGGCCGAAGGATGGACGGGGGGAGACAGATAAGAACGGCAGGCTAGAAGGAGAGATGAGGTCTGAGTCAGATTCCTCGTATTGGGAGTCTGTAGTCCCCTCTCTGGATGCAGCTTTCCGTCTGAAGCCAGCCTGTTCCCCTTCTGCATGCCCCCTCTCTGCATGCCCCCTCTCCGCTGCATGCGTCTCCTCGATTATCACTATCTTTTTAATCTCCTCCTGTTCTTGTTCCAAATCTGTGGCTCTCGGATCAGCTAGGTCCTGGGGGACCAAGCTTGCTGCATCAGGAGAAGCAGCATCCGCAGCATTAGCACCAGCTGCCGCCGCAGCAGCAGCACCACAGTCAGCAGTATTAACAGTATTAGCAGCAGCAGCAGCAGCAGCAGCAGCAGTCATAGGCGTCATGTCAACCCAGTTAGATTTCACCATGTCAGCAGTAATACTAGCATCAGCCCTTGCCACCACGCCACCGGCACCAGCATCACCAAAATCATTTCGAGCCTCTGCAGCAGGTCCGGCACAAGCCTCTTGAATCCGTTCGGCGAACGATCCGGCAGAGTCAGTGCTATCAGAGGGAACGAGTACCCTCCTCACCTGCACCATTCGGCTAAACTGCACGCGCCGATCCGCCCTCTGCTGCTTCATCCCGCTGGCTGCTCCGCCTGGTGATGATGACTGCTGGCTAGTAGGGGATTCTGCGGTGGCTTGGTGATCGTCGGATGGCTCTGGATCCAACGGCTGTGATGATGGTAGACGCAGGGATGGCGACCGGTTGCGATTCCAAGCTGCTGCTTCTGCTGATTCTTCGGCTTCAGTTGCTCCTTCTGTCTCAGCTGCTGCTGATTCACACGGCGAGGGACGGGAGCAGGGGGGACCAGAGCAGGGGTCAGCTTATATTCTCAATGCGCAATGGATAAAGCATATAATCCAAAGTAAAATTTCAATATAATTTCCAAGCTACGCTAGGATAGAGACGTGAGAGAAGGGAGGGATAGATTTCATGCATCAGGCGTCTCGTTTCGAGGTGCCTCAAAATCTCACTTGGTCATAACAGTGCTGCAGCTGCTTCGACTTTTGAGGCGCCTCAAATGTAGATCTCGTGCATGAGGCGTCTCGTTTCGAGGTGCCTCAGAAACTCACTTGGTTATTTATTACAGTGCTGCTGCTGCTTCGTCTACCACTTGTTCTGCTGGTGCTGCCACTTGTGCTTGTGCTGCTGGTGCTGCTACCTGTGTTAGTGCTACTGGTGCTTCTTTTTCTACATACCTGAAAAGGCAAAGTCGCTTGCATGATATGCCGCAGCAACAGTAGCAGCAGAAGCAGAAGCAGCTGCAACTGCAGCAGCTTCAGCAGCAACAGCAGCAGCCGCATCTGCAGCAGCACCATTGATGTGCAACAACCCAATGCCGTTGCTTAAACTGCTCTTATGCCAAGACGTCTCTTCTCTTCCCTCCTTCCTCCCCTCCTCACTTCCCTCCTCTCTCCCATTCTCTGTCTTCTCGTTTCGTTGCTCCACTCTTCCATCCTCTGTCCTCCCCCTTCGTCCCTTCTCTCTCCCCTCCTCTCTCCCCTCCTCTCTCCCTTCCTCTCCTCTTTCCTCCCGTCCCTCCCCGCCTGTTCTTTCCGTGACTCCCAGATCCAGATCCAGATCCAGATCCAGATCCAGATCCAGATCCAGTACCCCAGCTGCAACAGCACCACAAACACAAGTACCACCGCCACCACCACCACCACCACCACCACCACCACCACCACCACCACCACCACCACCACCACCACCACCACCACCACCACCACCACCACCACCACCACCACCACCACCACCACCACCACCACCACCACCACCACCACCACCACCACCACCACCACCACCACCACCACCACCACCACCACCAGCAGCAGCAGCAGCAGCAGCAGCAGCAGCAGCAGCAGCAGCAGCAGCAGCAGCAGCAGCAGTAGCAGCCGTAGCTTCAACAGTCCCCATACCGCCACTCAAACTCGCTACCCGCGCCATTTCACGAACCCCTTTCGCCCATCCAGATTGCAACTCCCGCCTTCCCTCACCCTCCCTTTCCCCTCTCTTCCCACCCCCCACTCCCCCTCCTTCCCCTTCATTACCTGTTACAGCAACAGCAGCAGCCGCTTCTTCTAAAGCTCTCATAGTGCTACCCTCACCATGGCTGATGGCCATTTCTCGGAACGATCCCACCAACGCGACCGGCGCTTCCCCTTCATTACCCCTCTCAGACAGCGCAACAGCAGCCGCCTCTGCTTCTAACGCCCTCATGCCCTCACTCGTGGCACCACGGCTGTTGCTACTAGCAGAATCTACTGCCAGGCGCGGATTCGCCATTTCCCGGAAGGATCCCACGAGCGCGACCGGCGCTTCCCCTTCCATCATCCCAACATCCCATGATCCTTCCGCCTCCACCGCTTCAAATTCTTCCGCCTCCCGCGAAACGTCCGCGCCAGCAGCGCTAGTACTAGCACTTCTACGAAAGAGGTGGGGTGTGGGGATGGCTTGGGAGCTGCTACTACTATCACTCAGCCTCAGAGACTTGGCAGTATCTTTGTTGTTACTGCCCATACCGAAGGAGCTGCGGCCCGCTGTATTAGTACTACTTTTAATAGCAACAGTACTACTATTAATAGCAACAGTACTACTATTAGTAGTAGCACCGCCGTAGCTCCGTCTCCTGGCGTGCTTTGAGTTGGTAGTATCAGCTTCGAAGTGACTCAACTGGGACTGCAACTCCTCCTCCTCCTCCTCAGTAGTCTGCTGCTGCCGTGCTTTCTGCATGGCGCTCCTTCTCCTGCTGACGGGATGTGGGTTAATAGTACTATTAACGGTGGTGGTATCAGCTTCTATCTCGAATTGACTCAGCTGAAATTGCCACTCCATCTCCTGCTGCCGTGCTTGCTGCCCTCCGCCTCCCCAGCTGCGGCACCTCCTGTGTGACGCTCGCTGCGGAATCTGCTGCTCCTGCTGCTGCCGCTGCTGCTGCTGCTGCTGCCGGGAGTGCGGGTTATGCCCGACTGTCGTCGCTCGGCGGACAACTATCACGGACTCGTCGCCGCTGGAACTCTTCTTTGGTAATACGCGGCCGCCGCCATCCCACTGTTCCCCCCCGCCGCGAGGCGAGCGCGGAAGATTGGGCGGAACGGCGGACCCCCTGTCGCTCGCATTGCTCTTTCCGCCGCGACCGCCGCCGCCGCCGCCGGCTAATGATGGCATGATTCGTCCAGACGACCACGCGCTGCCACGGCTTTCCGCTGACCCCGACCGCGGCGCCGCGGCGCCGCCATCGTCCGACAGCCGTCGCGACGGCGCTCCGAGAAGATCTGCGCCGCGGCGGTTTGAGAAGATGCGCGTGAGCGTCGCGAGGCGGCCGGGAGACTGCGGCGCGATCGGCGGCGGCGCGGCCTTCGCAAGCGACGAGTCCGAGTCGGAGTCATGTGACGTTGCGGCCGGCAGTGCCGGCAGTGCCGCAACCAGATCGTCAAGTTGCCATGACTGATAGAAGCTAGTATCCGCCGAGTCGGCGGGGGCATCATCACCAGCGGGTTTATCAACGCTGTTAGAACTACCGACCTTGGCGGCTCCCATCGCGCTTCGGAACGAGCGGAAGTCGGAGAAGGAGGTGTTTCTTGAGTGTCCGCCACGGCCGCCCTTCCGCCGCCGGCCGCTGGGAGTGACGGGCGAATCGGGAGGCGGAGCGCACTCCTCGAAACTTACCTCCGCCCAAAGCTCCTCCATGTCGATAGACGCGGTCGCTTTATGGCGCACGACCGTCGCGTGCGGGCTGCGCACGGGGGTGAGCGCGGCAGGCCGCCACGCGGCCTCCTCGGCGCCGTCGCTTTCGCCCCCAACGGCGGAACAGGATTTCGAGGAGGGAAACGCTGCGCGCGCGCGGCAGGCGTCATTCCGCCTAGCCGCCGCGGGATTTTTGGGGCTGCTTGCTGCGTGATCCAAGGTCCGCGCTCGCCGGGTTTCGCCAAAGTAATTCGGAGATGAGCAGCTGGCACGGCGCGGATGGGGGAGGGTGAGTGGACGGCTCAATGGCGGAGGAGAATCGTCGCCAGATGGAGGTGCGAATATCGAGTGCGATGGTAAGCGCCTCGGACTTCTACGTTCTGGCGGGGAGCCCATCGGGAGATTTGTTGGACGAGATAGCTGGGGATGAAGAAGCGGCGTTGGGCTTGGTAGTAGGGCTGAAATGTAGGATTTCATTACTCGGTCCTACTGGTGATTGGTGCTCACTGCTCTAAGTCTACTGCCAGTGAGTGTGTTGTTATTAGGAGGGACTGAGGTGTTGCTGTGTTGGCTTGTTGCCATGGCAACAAGCATGGTAGGGTAGTTTTCCCGAAGGCAAGTTCAAACATATATCGAAAGTTCATATCAAGTGCCCTGAGAAACAAAACTACACGAATATATTTCTCACGTGGGTCAGGGTATATTGACTTGATTCACGATGTAAGTTAGGGCTTGCCGCGTAAACAATGGACGTTTATATGGATGCAAGTGTGATGCAGCACTTTAAAGGGAACGTCGACATCAACCATTTAAGTGCTGTGGAACTCCTTTCAACCATTATCCTCAGTTTGAAAGGAGTTCCACAGTTGCTGTTTTTCTGGGTACATTTTCCAACAGGCAGCAAAATATTGGGTTCACATGTTTTTTTTCACACTCAATAGGTTCCGGTTGAGGGTCCAGTCCTTTTTCTAGCAATACCGGTCTTGTATTTGTAAGTATTGGACAGCCTGTATCCTCTCTGGAATATAAATACTCGTCCAAAACGTTTATGCGTGTACACTATAGCTAGCCTCGGAGTGTTTCAATTCAATGCTTTCGTGGTCCCAGATTGCGTTGGAGAAATCCAGTTGACACAAGACCCAACTTGTTTTTCGGGGTCTCTTCGACTAGCGGAACAGAAAGACAAGAGTACACAAAATGTTCGTTAGAGTAGTAGACATATTCAGGGAACATAAATCCCAATATTTGCTGTTTGCCAATGATCAAACCAGCCCAATTTTACTTGGACTGTCATATTTAACCTACACTGTATGAAACCGGTTCCCTTAGGTACACATTATCAACCAGAAATTCTATTTATATGTATAAAAATAGGTCATGTGTTCATCGTCTCTCTTGTTAAATAATAACAAACACAAACGTATATGAAGACATTGTTCAACCAAAGAACAAACTTGTGCAAAAGGTTTTCATGCTTTGAGATTTGATATTGTACCAGCCCATAATGAGGGTTGGATAAAGTACTTTATTACGTACATATAGTAGGAGATTCCAACTCTATAGGGTCAATATCATGGATTGTCGAGTCTGCTTGATTACGTTTACGCACTCGTAATCAATCAAAATAGACAATTGTACCAAAGAATTGATTATGGCCTGGAAAAAAATCAGTGCTAATTATTTATAGTATTCTGTAATATAATGTGCGTTTTTTTCAGAATCTTTGAGAATATCATGACGAGCCGTTGGTACAAAAGCAAATCGTAAGTGAAAGCTTAAAGTCACTCTCTTTCTATTCATACTGATTCGTGATTTGTACAGAGAATCGAGTGCTCTGTACAAAGGAAAACTTCGATTGCCGATGGGCTGGTGGTGACTGGGAAGTGTTGCGAGTCTTGTGCAGTACAATCGAAGTTCAAGCTTGCTGTACAAATCCTTGGGAGAAAGCGACAGAAAGGGCCGATTTTATTTTTTTTTTTGGGCTGGTTTGTTGACGACATAGTCTGCAGAGAGGCGACAGGCTGGCTGGCAAAAGGCAGCTGAATCGAAACAAGGCGACGGACGAGGAAATGACAAAGCGCCGTGTTTTCAAATTTCCAATTCCAATGGGCAGTGGTTTTGACAGCGCATTGCTCTGCGCTCGCGTCCAATACCTTGGGGCATATTCTTTCTCAGTTTCTCCTTTTAAGTCCACAAATACAAGTTGGTTTTAGGTTACGGGGTATTAAAAATGTATTCGTCGAGTCCATGGCAAACACTCAGCTCGGGACAAGAAAAATATCACCCTCATGGATGGTATGCCACGAAGAGAGCATCAACCCTAAACACCATGAGGCAAGGTATTTAGGGTTGATGCCTCCCAAATGGCTTGTCATCCGAGTGGGTTTTAGTTTTTCCACTGGCCTCTATACTGAGCCCAGGTACTGGATATTTGCCCTTCTATACGTTTAGTCATGAAAAACGGGAAATAGCAATATAAACTGACCGCGGGAATTGGGCGCGAGCGCGGTGGGAGTCGCTGTCAAAGCCACTGCCGAAAGGAATCGAAAACGTGCAAACACGGCGGTCCGTCATTTCCTCGCGACGGACGGACCACCTTTGACAACCCGTTCGAGGCGCGACGACAGTGATCTTGGTCGCGCACTAACCGGCCGGCTAATCAAGCCCTCCTTGTCACCGCCAGCCGATTTTACCCGTCATCAGTTCGCCATCCACAGAGTCATCCGACCACCGCAGTGATTCATTCGTCAATTCAAGAAATTGTACAGAACCAGTAAAAATCAGAGTCAAGACTCAAGAGTAGTACCCACTAAGTCAGCCCGCTATGTCTTAGTGGATCCACTGAATACACCGATTCAGGCAAGCGCAGCATACACACCCATCCCTGCGTTGCCATAGAATTGAGACATCTCAAAACAAACCTGTTATCGCAAGCCAAGCCCTCCATTGCCCGAAGTTACCCTCGTTCCCAGTCGACCTGCTAAGCCCTAGAAGATCCACTCAAGCCACCAACTCTCGGCAAGCGCAGCACTCTCACCCATCTCTGCCGCGCCTTGGATTCCACCTCGCCAGCTTCCATCTGATATACCGTAAGCGTAAGTGAGCTCTTGAGACGTCTCAAACACTCATTTATATCACCTTGCTAGGCCTCGGCAAGCGCAGCACTCTCACCCATCTCTGCCGCGCCTTGGATTCCACCTCGCCAGTTTCCATAGCAGACACGGACCGCGGCACAAGCCCTGACATACCCGAATTTGCATCCGAACCTACTTCCGAGCCTGCTTCTGGCCCAGGAGGAAGGCTCTGAAGTAGAGATCTTCGCACCCCCAACTCACACCCTCCGTTCGCAAGCACCCCCTCCTCCTCCACCCCGGCCCCTTCCCCTCCTGCCACACCCTCCTCTCCCAGCCTCTTTCGATACTCCTTACAAACAACCCCTGCTTCTTGCCTTCCTATCACACCGTCTCGTGCCCCCACACCAGTCTCCCCACCCTGATTAGAATGCACCTCTTTGCTTGAACCTAACTCCATTTCTCCGGCCGCCACACCCATCCGCTTGGATGGGCTGAAAAAGAGAGCAGGGGCGAGAGTGATGCTCCTGAGTCGTGAGCGTGAGAAGGAGCGAGTGAGCGAGGCGAGGAACTTGCGACCCGGCGAAGGTGAGGGGGAGGGGGAGGGGGCTGAAGAGGAGAAGGAGTGCGGGAGGGCCGGGGGGGGAGAGTCGATCGGTGCGCTGTGGTCGATAAAAATTGTATCGGACAAAACAGGAAGGGATTTGGTTGCAGGGATGAAGGATGTGAGGGGGGATGCGGATGGGGAGAAGATGGAGAGGAGGAGGGGATCCGCAGGCTCTGATTCAACAGCAGCAGCAGCAGCAGCAGTAGCAGCAGCAGCAGCAGTAGCAGCAGCAGTAGCAGCAGCAGTATCACCAGCAGGCGCCCCAGCAGAATCACCATCAAAAAAAGAAACTGTAACAGCTTCTGTAGCAACAGCAGCAGCAGCAGCAGCATCGGTCCTAGGGAGAATTCTAACACCATTGCCAGCAGCACATGACACCGTGTCACAGCCCGAGGCACCAGCAGCAGCAGCGGTGGCAGCAGCACCAAATTCACCACCAGCACCAGCAGCAGCAGCAGCAGCACATGGAGCAAGCGTTCTCTCAACAGCCATACTAGCTTCAGCAACCCTCATGGCAGCATCATCACCATCACCAGCATTGTCATCATCACCATCACCAGCAGCAGCAGGAGCAGCAGCATCAGCAACAGAACCCAGGTCACCATCCGGAACCCCATCACGGCCACTCCAAGAATCAGCGGCAGGCTCGGAATCAAGCTCGGCACCAAACCCACCATCAGTCTCGGCATCAGGCTCGGCATCAGGCTCGGCATCAGGCTCGGCATCAGGTCCGGCAGAGTCACTGCTGGGGCAGGCAACGAGCACACGTCTCACCCTCACCATGTCACTGAACTGCACGCGCCGCCCTAATCTGCTGCTCTTGCCACCACGCCCCCCACTCTTGCCAGCAGGTCTCCCTGCTTCTGCTGCGTCTGATACTGCTCCTGATGCCTTTGCTTCTGTTGGAACCCCCACTTCTGCTGCGGTCCTGCCGGCAGGTCTCCCTGCTTCTGCTGCGTCTGATACTGCTCCTGAAGGGCTTTCCCCTGTGTCAACCCCTGTCCCTGCTCTGCCTGATTTTGCACCTGACGGTTGTGACACTGCACCAACCCCTGCTTCCGCGTCTGCTGCTACTCGTTCTGTGTCTGCTGGAGATTCGTTTGCCGTTCGTCCCGCTTCCATCCCATCCCCCTGATGCTCCTCCTCCTGCTGCTCCTGCTGCTCCTGCTGCTCCTGCTGCTCCTGCTGCTCCTGCTGCTCCTGCTGCTCCTGCTGCTCTGCCTGCATCGGTTCACTGCGTTTCCCCGTCTGCAGAACCCCATCACTCACGCTCCTATGCACGCCTCCCCCTCTCCCCTTCCCCTCCGCTCCCCCCTCCCCTACTTGTCCGCCGGAGCATAGGGAGACGGGGGAGTGGACCTCCGCGGGGAGGGGGAACTGGAACGCGGGGGACGGGGGGGGGGCAGAAGGGGAAGGGGGAGCGGGAGGGGAAGCGGTGGAGAGGTGGAGGAGGGGAGGAGAATCACCAGTTCCGTCCTGCCAATCCGTGGCAGGGGTTGGGAGCGAGCGGGCTCCACCGGTCCCATTGTGCTGCTCTGATGCCCCCCTGCTTCTACCTACATGTTGCTCCTGCTGAGGCTGACGCTCCTGCTGCCGTTGACGCTTCTCGGAAACGGGTGGCGCGGCAGCATCGCTCTCGTGTCTGTCACTCTCGTTTGAATCACTCTCTTTTGAAACACCCTCGTTTGCGTCATACACCAAGAGCACGTCTTGCATTTCCCTTGCTGCTGTGCTCTGCGTATCTCGTCCCTCTCGCCCCACCCTCAACCCCCCTTCCTCTCCCTCCTTCCCTTCCACAACCTCCCCCTCTCTACTTCCCTTCCTCTCCTCTCCCACTCCTAACCCCTCTCCGTCCCCTCTTTCCACTCCTCGCATCAATTCATCCCTTTCCTCTCTCCCCCTTCCGTCATCTCTTTCCTCTATTCCCTCCCCATCCTCTCCTTCCTTCCCCCTCTCCACCACCTCCTCTATAACCCCAATGCCGTGACTCAAACTAGCCATGCGCCATGCATTCTCTTCCCCCCCCTCCTTTGCTCCTCCCTCTCTTGCTGCCCCTTCCCCCTCCGCCTCCCCAATAACCCCAATACCGTTACTCAGACTAACCATGCGCCATGCATTCGCCTCCGCGCTCGTCCCCACGACCCCCATGCCATAGCTCAGACTACATCTGCGCCAAGACGCCTCCCCTCGTCCCCCCTCCCCTTCCCCTTCTCCTTCCCCCTCCCCCTGCCCGCTCCTCTCCACCTCCCCAATAGCCCCAATACCGTTGCTTAGACCAGCCATGCGCCATGCATTCCCCTCTCCGCGCGTCCCCCCAATCCCCATGCCGTAACTGAGACTGCATCTGCGCCAAGACGCCTCCCCGCTCCCCCCCTCCCCCTCCCCCCTCCCCTTCCCCGAGCCACGTGCTGTAGTCTCCTCCCTCCTCCCTTCCCCCCTCGCCTCCCCCATTCGCCTCCCCTCCTCGCCCCCGCGCGCTCGTCTCTATTTCCCCAATACCGTGACTCGGACTCGCCATGTGCCAAGCCATCTCCTCCTTCCCCGCGCTTACTCCCCCAACCCCCCGCGCGCTCGTCTCTATTTCCCCAATGCCGTGACTCAGACTCGCCATGTGCCAAGACGACTCCGCGCTCTCCCCCTTCCCTTTCCCCTTCCCCGCCCCCGCTCCCGCCCATCCTCCCCGCTCCGTGTCCCCCGCCCCGTCCCCAAGCCCTGCCGCGCCGCCCTCCCTTCCGCATCCGCCACGCGGCGACGGCAGCGCCACAGCTGCCGCCGCGGCCGTCAGATGCGCGATCCCGTCGCGCAGGCTCTCCCCGCTCCCCGAGTACGCTATATCGCGAAAGGAGCCTACTATATCCGTGTCACTCCCCCCATTCCCCCCACTCCCCCCATTTCCCCAACCCCCCCCAGTCTCCTCAGTCCCCAGCAGCGGGTTCCCCAACCCCCCAGCTTCCACCGCAGCTCCTGCTGCTTCCCCAATCCGTTCCGCTCCGTCCCCCTGCCGGGCGAGTCCCCGCCACCCCGCAAGGCTGCTAACCGCAGTGCCCCGCGGGCTAGCTTGGCGGAAGCCGCCGCGCGGACCAGACGACGCGCCGCGCTTTCGCGCGGTCTCGAGCGCAGCATCCCCTGCCCGCGCTTCCGCCACTTCCCCCGCCGCTTCCTCCGCACGTCCCGCTCCGCGCGCCACTCCCGTCTGACCAGCGCCCCTCCTCCGCGGGCTCTGTACCACGCAGAAGACGATGCGCGGACCTGAGTGCGCCGCGCTTTCCCCCTCCCCTCCGCCCTCCTCGTCCGACACCTCCCCCTCCTCCCCTGATTGCAATTGCTGCTGCGACGCGCCCTTTACGCGTCGCGTGAAAGGAACGACCATCATTGGTTCTTTCCCACTCATACTCTTTCCTGAGGTTCCCGCCGCCGCGCCGGGATTCCGTCTAAAGCTTGCGCCGCGCGCCGCGGCCCGGGGGGATTTCGGCACGGCGCCAGTGTCATTCGCCGCAAGCCGCGCAGAGAGTGGCGCGTGTTTCGTCTCAACAGACGAGCATCGCACGACGCCGCCATACAATTCCACGTCATCGCTGGTTGACGTGTCCTGTAGCCCTCGGAAAGACATGGAGGAGAGGGAAACGGGGATTTTGGCCGGAACCGCGCCGCTAGACGCGCCGTCCGACGCGGCGGGAGACGCGGAGGCAGCATCTCGGCGGCTGGAGAAAAGACGCGACAGCGCCGGCCGACGTCTGAGTGCTGGCGCCGCCGCGGTCGCCGCCGCCACCGTCGCCGTCGCGTCGCTCTGTTGCTGCCCTTTTGAGAGTTTACCAGCGTCAACTTCGCTGGGTTTCGCGTCGCCGTCGCGCGGTTTCTCTTTCAGGAACGACCGAAAGTCAGAAAACGAAATGTTTCGCGCGTGTCCTCTCCGCCGCCCCCGCCCTTCCGCGCCATTCCCGCCAGCCCCGCCCGCCGGAGCGGCGCCACCAAATGTGCTGTCCGCATCTTGCGTGGCGCCTTCTTCGAGACTGAAGTCTGCCCAAAGCTCCTCCATGCCTATTGACGACGTAGCTCTATGGCGGATCGCCGTCGCGTGTGGACTCCGCACGGGGGTGAGCGCGGCAGGGCGCCAAGCGGCGGAAGTGGAGCTTCCGCCTCTGGGGGAAAGAAGCGCGGAGGCGGCGGAGCCATCGGGGGAAAGCAGCGCGGAGGAGGAGCCGTCGGAGGAAAGATTTGAGGGGGAAAGCACCCGGTCGCTCTCTCTTCCGCTGATAGTTTCCGCCCATCGTACCGCGGGTTGCGGGGACCTGGGGGAGAGCCGGCTCTGCCTGGGGCTTTGCGCGGGAGCGGAAGAATCCAAGGTCCGCGCACGGCGTTGCGGGCGGGGCCCGCCGGGGCATTCAATGGGCGCGCAGCGGGAGCGCGGTGGGGGGAGGGTTTTTGGCCTGTCTAAAAATCGAGGAAGGTCGGACGGGGGTATGGAGGGTGATACTATCGGGCTTAACGAGTCCCCCACGTTTGAGCCCATGAGGATGTGCTTCTAATGAAGGATAACCGAGGGACTACGTTGGCTTAGAGGGGCAAAACGTATATACTTTGAGGTTGTTCAATTGCAGAACATAAGACGTTCATGGAATTTCGGGCCGTTGGGAGTAGCACGGTTCAAGGCTCCGCCTTGTTCATTATCGAGCAGCAATTTTGAACTACAGGTTGCGAGAGTTGCTCCCTTGCTCACTCAAATGTAAGAAGGGGACAGCAAGTACAGCATTGTTTCTTGTCGATTCCTATTAGACCAGCGGTTCTCTGTGGTTTGCTGCGTTCAAAAACGGTAATGAAGCAAAACTGCGCTAGATACGATGATCATGGAGCAAAGCGAACGGAGTGGCTGACTGAACTGAAGTGTACAGACCAGATTGGCAAGAGATAATATAATATGTGCGTGTTTGTCACTATGTTAACTGGTTAGACTGTGCAGTTGTCGTGAGGCGGGGCCAGGCTGGGTGTGGATAAGATGACGACAACAACGTATCTCGTCTCATTGCCACTCCGACATGTTGTTGGTGTAGGGAGGGCCTCTGTGTCCACCTGCCCGAACACTTATTCATAGGACCATTCTGTTTGTACAGTGTTTTATGGGACCATACAGTACAATGTGTACACCAAGGTCAGAAGGGTGGGGAGATGGAGTTTGGGCATGCGCGAAGTGGGTCCGCCAAGCACAGCACAGACTGGAACTTTCTGCCCAGAAATTAATAAACGAGCCCAGCTTGACAATGTGATGTGATGCGAATCGAAACAGCTGGAAACGGCGTGTAGGTACAGTACAGTTGTACACCGCTGCTGAGTCAGGTAGTTTGCCAATAGCAAGCAACGCGGGGCCATTTATCCTCGGCTAGAACAAACCCAGTCGAAGAATATTGCACAATGATGTAACTTCTTTTCTCCGATAGTGCAATCCTCGCTAATTCGTTCCATTGCAAGCGTAACAAGTACTTGCTTGTGAGAGTTCGAGTGTAGACGTGCCTGGCCTCGCCGTTGTTGTTCAAGTTGTCAATGCTGCCTGGCACAACCACGTTGGCGGTTCTGGTTGGACCACGTTCGACTCCCGCCAACCGCCCAACAGCATTTTGACACCTCAAGTCCGTCCATCCTTTACATAAACTTACCCGTTACTACAAGTGCAACATTTATGTCCAGCTACGCTTACACTGATTGCAACGAAGGATTACGTTGAAAGCAAATCATTCGTCACGAGAGTGTCCAGGCCCATTAGGGCCACACTCGTCAAAGTGATAGTGGACGGATTGTTGGACGGAGAGGGTGAACTGTGAGACAGATACCAGCAATGGCTGCCGCTACGGTATCCCTTAGTGCCACGTCATGCACGCGTCACATTCTTTCCTCTCCTGGTGCTCCTCAAAACGCGTCGTCGCTTCTTCCTCTCCCGTCACTCACGCCGCGTGTCTCCTGCGCGACACGACGAGCAGAGCTGACCCCTCCGCGATTTGCGGCGACCGGAACACGCGAATGTGCATCACGACGAGCAGTGCCATCAAGGCGTGCGCTCGCGGTGCGAGCTTCTTCGGACGATAGCGGCTCCGCCGAAACCTCGCCTGCTGAAGCTTCGCCGAAGCCTCCGCCAGCAGCGCAACCCTCCACGCCTCCTCCGCAGCAAGGTGCGAACTTTGAACGAAGCAGGCTCGGTTCGGTTCGTTTCGAGTCGGTTCAGTCAGGTCCAGGCTGACTTGGCTCTGTCTGGTCGCGAACACACGCTGGCGATTATTCTTGAATTGGCTTAAAAAAACAGAACTGCGGGAAACTTAGTTAAACCATGAATCTGTAACGAACGGAGTGTACCGTCTCGAAATGTGCGAATTTAGAGCATTTCAAACGAGTTACATTCCACGAAGTCATGCGTAAGCTTCGCCTCTTGGAATGAAGGCACCGAGGCTGCTGCTGCTGCTGCTGCTGCTGCTGCCGTGAAGACACCTCGGTGAAGAAGCACACCTCATCGCGATGAAGGATTGACGGGGGTCTGTCCCAGTCCTCATCTCGACTGTCATTCTTCTGCAAAAAGATTTTTCTAAGCTGCAGCTCGCCCAGTCGTTATGGCAAAAGACACCTCGGTGAAGAAGCACACCTCATCGCGATGGGAAGGCTGGTGAAGCTTCAGAAGCTTCATTTGTGAGAAATCAGCACAAATGGTGTTTCTCACTACTCCCCGTCTTCTCATTCCCCCACCTTCCCCCCCTTACCCCCCTATCCCCCCTTTCCCCCCCTTCCCCCCCATCCCCCCCCTTCCCCCTGTCCCCACCTCCTCCCCCTCAACACCAGCCAGCCATTTTCCCCTTGCTTACCTGACTCCCTCTCTCCCGCACTCCCTTTTCCCTTCCTTTACTCCCAGCTCTCCCCATTCCTGCCCGCGGCTCCTTCTCCGCCCCCCATTCCTCTCTCCCCCTCCTCCCCCTCCCTCCCCACGATCAGAAATTATGTGTGCGCTGCAATCCTTTGAGGCCCCCCAGAATATACCGGTATGTACTCATCAGATTCGTATGCATCCATTCCTTCCTTTTTAACACTCCGTCTCGTCTGTGCTTTTCTCCCTCACCAGGCTTGGTGAAGGGCCAGGTGACCGCCATTGTCACAGGAGTCATCTCCCTCATCCTCGCTATAGGCTACCTTGCTTTGGTGCAGCTGCTCGACTCCAGAGGGCTGCAGATGCTGCCTCCCCCACCTGAAGCCTTTGGCCCCTGAAACAGAGTTCACAATAGTCTGCATAGATTGGGTGTAGCATGACATTGGTCGAAAGATAGTTTATTGCGTTAGTTTATTGCGTAAATACAAGCGTGGGGATGTTATAAATCGGCCACAACCGCGCAGCTGGAAATGCTGGCCCCTGGCTTTAAGAGATCTCAAAACACATAGGGTAATTATTATCCCCGGGTATGGCAACCACCATCATGGATAGCTGCCATGCTGATGCCAATGCTCCTGCCTGCCCCGTTCCGGAGCAGAAGCACTGCTCCTGAGCATCCCAGATGGGCAGGTAACCACTGTAACCTAACACCACACCCACTGTACTGGTGGTGAGCCTCTGCAGCGAGCGACTATGACCACCGACAGACAGGTGGCAATTCACACCCACTGCCGCCTCGACCTCCAACCGTTACACTGCTGTAGGGCAATTCACATGGGCGGAGGGAAGTACAGGCAGCGGTACCGTACCAGGTCTTTCCCACCCCACAGTGCACGAATGTGAGGTCCCACGGGTCCTCTCCTCCTCACTCATCAGAGCCTTGTAAAAATCGTCCACTAAACTGAATGCTCAAACAGTTACACTGGCGCAGAGCGATTCACGTGGGCGGAGGGAAGTACAGGTCGCAGCGGTACCAGGTCTTCCCCACCCCACACTGCAGCACCCGGGCAGCACCCGGGCAGCACCCGGGCAGCACCCGGGCAGCACCCGGGCAGCACCCGGGCAGCACCCGGGCAGCACCCGGGCAGCACCCGGGCATCATGCGGGCAGCATGCGGGCAGCATGCGGGCAGCATGCGGGCAACACGCAGGCAGCACCCACACACACGCTTCCCTCGGTTGCTCGCCTGAGCCAGGCTTACACGACCCACCCACACTCGGTTCTCACACTGTACACTCTCTCCGTCCTCTCTTCTTCCACTCTCCACCCTCCCATCACCCACACTCCATCTCCATCACCCACCCACAACCCATCTTCTCATCTCCCACACCAAGTCTGCCCATCATCCACACACCGTCTTCCCATCGCCCATAATCCATAACCCATAAACCCATAGTTCTTCAGCCATAACCCACACTCCCTATCCACACATCACCCGCCCACAACCCATCCTCACATCTCCCACATCCACACCCACAACCCAAATACTTTCCATCATCCACACCCCGCCTTCCCATCACCCTTCACCCATAACCCATCTCGCACAGCAAAGAACTACATGACCCATCTCGCACAGCAAAGAACTACATGACCCATCTCGCACAGCAAAGAACTACAAGACCCATCTCGCACAGCAAAGAACTACATGACCCAGTGAGTACGTACCCCAACCCAAGCCTCCTCCACGGCTCTCCTGTGCGCGATCTCCGATTTTCCCCCAGTGAAAGACCACCTCACCCGTTTTCCCATCCTCGCATCACACACAGCCAGCCAGCAGCATCACATGACCCACAGACAACCCCTAGCCTCCTCCACGGCTCTCCTGTGCGAAATCTCCCAGTGAAGGCCCATTCTCCCACCCTCCCATCACACTTCTAGCCCAGCATCACATCACCCGCACTCCACCCATCCTTCCATCACACACGGCAAACAATCACATCACCCATAGTGTGCCCCACGCCTCCCCTCCTCCACGGCTCTCCTATGCGTAATCACCCAGTGAAAGCCCACCTCACCCATTCTCCCATCCTCCCATCCCATCACACACAGCCAGCCAGCGCCATCACATGACCCACAGAGTGCCCCACGCCTCCTCCACGGATCTCCTGTTCGCAATCTCCCAGTGAAGGCAGGTGACTTTTGAGTCGACTCAAAGCCAGCATCACATGACCCATAGTGTGCCCCACGCCTCCTCCACAGCTCTCCTGTGAGAGATCTCCACCGTCCATCCGCCAGCCTTCTGCCCCTTCAAGATCCGAGCCTGCTGCTGCTCCGGAGTCAGGCTCGGCGCCGAGCCTAGGCTGCTGTCGGTATGGTGCACAGGCATGGGTTGGAGCATTCCCACTGGTCGAGGGGGGAATGCTCCTCCTCCTGCTGCCATGTCCCCTGCTCCTGCTGCTGCTGCTGAGGCAAAATCAGTTGTCATTTCTAGTTGGTCCCTCTCCTGCTGCTCTATCTGCAGAGGAGGAAGGGGAGAAGAGGGGAAAGTATGGGGACGAGAAAGGGGGGAGGTGAGAAAGGGAAAGAAAGCCCCCTCCTGCTGCCATGTCCCGTGCTCCTGCTGCTGCTGCTGCTGAGGCGAAATCAGTTGCCATTTCAAGCTGATCCCTCTCCTGCTGCTCTATCTGCATTTACGGGAGAGGAAAAGGTGGGGGAGAGAAGGGAGGACGTGAAAGAGGGGAGAGAAAGGAGGAGGTGAGAGAGGGGAGAGAAGGGAGGAGGTGAAAGAGGGGAGAGAAGGGAGGAGGTGAAAGAGGGGAGAGAGGGGAGGAGGTGAAAGAGGGGAGAAAGGCTACTGCTGCCATGTCTCCTGCTCCTGCTGCCATGTTTGCTGCTCCTGCTGCCATGTTTGCTGCTCCTGCTGCCATGTCTCCTGCTCCTGCTGCCATGTCTCCTGCTCCTGCTGCCATGTCTGCTGCTCCTGCTGCTGCTACTGTGGCGAAATCGGTAGTCATTTCGAGATGGTCCCTCGCCTGCTGCTCTATCTGCAATGCAGGTGAGAGAGGAAAAGGTGTGGAGGAGAAAAGGGGAGGTGAGAATGGGAAGGGACGCCCCTCCTCCTCCTGCCATGTCCCCTGCGGCTGCTGCTGCTGCTGCTGCTGCTGCTGCTGCTGCTGCTGCTGCTGCTGCTGCGGCTGAAGCGAAATCGGTTGCCATTTCCAGTTGGTCCGTCTCCTGCTGCTCTATCTGCAGAGGGCGATTAAGAGGGAGGGAGGGTTTGGGAGCAGAAGGAGTTGGGAGGTTCAGAGGGTGAGAAAGAGAAGGTTGGGAGGGAGGAGAGCAGTAGAAAACCTCATCGGAGGTCCATTGTAGTTCCTTGTGTGGTTGCAAGCAACAAACGTTCAGATGCTTTCGGTCGGTGGGTGGTGGTGCTTGAAGGGATTTGGGAGTATAAGGTGAGAGAGCGAAGGGGTTGAAAGGTTTGGAGGGTGGGAATGAGTAGGATGGGAGGAGACGTTACACGAGAAATCATTCCCCTGAAAACCGCCCCTAAGAACCGCCCCTAAGAACCGCCCCTAAGAACCGCCCCTAAGAACCGCCCCTCAAAACCGCCCCTGAAAACCACCCCTGACAACCGCCCCTCAAAACCGCCCCTCGAAACCGCCCCCATATCCTCCCCATTCACACCCCATACCAGCATCCCTAATTCACATAGACCATTCTCACTCCCCATTCCCACCCCTACCAGTTGGTTCATGGAGATTTTTCCTGGTTTGGGCAGCAGTGCTGCTGCTCGCAGCTCTATACTCAGCAACAATACCCTCCAATACCTCCCCATACTCCCAGTACGCCCCCACACTCCCCCACACTCCCCCACACTCCCCCATACTCCCCCAATCCCACACCTACCAGCTGGTACACGGACGATTCTCCCGGTTTGGGTGGCAGTGTTGCTGCTCGCAGCTCGGCTGCTCGGCGCTCTGCCTGGTATCGGCGGGGAGGTATCGGGGGGGAGGGGGGAGGCGGGTGTGGGTGGAGTTGGAAGATTGGAGTGGGAGAATAGAGCATCGTTCGATACAGGCGGGAGCAATGGATCCTCCCGGTTTGGGCGTTTTTGAGAATTCTCAAAATCTCCCTGCTGACTTTTGAGTCGAAAGTTTGAGTCGACTCAAAAGTCAGCTCAAGAGGGAGCAATGGATCCTGCCGGTCTGGGTGGCAGTGCGGCTGCCTGCTCTCAGCTCTGCTGCTCGGCGCTCTGCCGGGTGTAAGCAGGGAAGGTATTAGAGGGGAGAGAGAGGGGGTAGGGGGGAAGAGTGGGTGAGATGCAATATGCTGAAGGGAGGGAGGGCTTTTGAGGCGCCTCAAAAGAGGGGGTAGGGGGGAAGAGTGGGTGAGATGCAATATGCTGAAGGGAGGGAGGGCTTTTGAGGCGCCTCAAAAGAGGGGGTAGGGGGGAAGAGTGGGTGAGATGCAATATGCTGAAGGGAGGGAGGGCTTTTGAGGCGCCTCAAAAGAGGGGGTAGGGGGGAAGAGTGGGTGAGATGCAATATGCTGAAGGGAGGGAGGGCTTTTGAGGCGCCTCAAAAGAGGGGGTAGGGGGGAAGAGTGGGTGAGATGCAATATGCTGAAGGGAGGGAGGGCTTTTGAGGCGCCTCAAAAGGGGGGGTAGGGGGGAAGAGTGGGTGAGATGCAATATGCTGAAGGGAGGAGGGAGGGATACGACTGCCTTCTTGGGCGTCACTGTGGCAGTGCTGCTGCGTGCTCTCAGCTTTGCTGCTTGGCGCCCTGCCTAGTATCAGCAGCGAGAGCCTTTTGAGTCGACTCAAAAGTCTGCCTCATACGCCCTTACTTCCTCTCTCCATGCTATTGCACCACTATCCACACTTCTGCACCTCTCACCACCCTCTGAACCGCTGCACCACTCTGCACACCCCCGCACCATCCGGGCAGACAGCCACTCACCCGCTTGGCTCTGGCAGCAGCAATGCTGTCTCGATTGTTTGCCTCATCCGACCTCACCTCCTCTCTCCATACCACTGCAACACTCTCCAGACTGTTACACCATTCACCACTCTCTTAACCGCTGCACCGCTCTCCACACCTCTACACCATCCCTGCATACTGTCACTCACCCGCTTGGCTCTGGCGGCTGCTATGCTGTCTCGGTTGTTCGCTTCATACGCCCTCACACCCTCTCTCCACACCGCTGCACCGCTCTCCACACCTCTACACCATCCCTGCAGACTGTCACTCACCCGCTTGGCTCTGGCAGCTGCGATGCTGTCTCGGTTGTTTGCTTCATACGCCCTCACCTCCGCCTCTGCTGCCGCCGCATCGATTCCTTCCACCAACCGGAACACTGGCAAGGAGGGGGGTAAGGGCGAGTAGGGTGAAGGATGAAAAAGGGGGGGATAAGGCCAACACATTGTTTGCTTCATACGCCCTCACCTCCGCCTCTGCTGCCGCCGCATCAATCCCCTCCACCAGCCGGAACACTGTGAAGAGGAGAGGGGAGGGGGGGCAGCGAAGGGGGGGGAAGTAGAGAGGGGGAGAGGGAGGAAGCATTACTGCCTTAGACGTCCACATCAATCCCCTCCACCAGCCGGAACAGTGGGAAGAGGAGAGGGGAGGGCGAAGGCAGGGGAGGGCGAAGGCAGGGGAGGGCGAAGGCAGGGGAGGGCGAAGGCAGGGGAGTGGGGGGAGATAAGTCTAACACATTGTTGCCTCATACGCCCTCACCTCCGCCTCTGTCGCTGCCGCCGCATCGATTCCTTCCACCAGGCGGAACACTGTGAAGAGGAGAGGAGAGGAGGGAGAGGTCAAACGGAGGGGGGATAAGGTGAACACATGCTTGCCTCCTATGCCCTCACTCACCCCCGCCTCTGTTATCGCCACTTCGATTCAGTCCCTTCCACTATCCAAAACACTGGATGGACGGAAGGGGTGGGAGGAGGGGCAGCGATGGGACGTATCCTTGCGTCATACGCCCCCAATTCCTCCTCTGTTGCTGCCACATCGATTCCTTCCACCAGCAAAAACACTGGAAAGAGGAGGGAAGAGGAGGAGCAGCGATGGGACGTATCCTTGCCTCATACGCCCTCACCTTCGCTTCGGTTGCATTGCAACCACTTCAATTCAGTCCCTTCCACCATCCAGAATACAGGTAGATAGGGACGGAGAGGAAGGCAGGCAGTTAGGGACGGAGAGGAAGGCATGCAGTTAGGGACGGAGAGGAAGGCATGCAGTTAGGGACGGAGAGGAAGGCATGCAGTTAGGGACGGAGAGGAAGGCATGCAGTTAGGGACGGAGAGGAAGGCATGCAGTTAGGGACGGAGAGGAAGGCATGCAGTTAGAAACGGAGAGGAAGGCAAGTAGTTAGAAACGGAGAGGAAGGCAGGTAGTTAGAAACGGAGAGGAAGGCAGGTAGTTAGAAACGGAGAGGAAGGCAGGTAGTTAGAAACGGAGAGGAAGGCAGGTAGTTAGAAACGGAGAGGAAGGCAGGGCGAGAAGCAATGTTGGCCTTTATCAAATCCGTCAGAGATATCCCTCGGAAATAACCCACACCAGCCACCCGCCTCTCAACCCCTCGCAAGCAGAAATCTACAGGAACCAGAAATTGAATAGCCACGTGAAATAAGTGTCTTTTTGAGACGTCTCAAAAGAAATCCCACAGCAGCCACCCGCCTCTCAACCCCTCGCAAGCAACTATCTCGCATCACACCCCTTGTACCTCTCTCTCAGTCTCTCACCACTCATCTCATCCTCCCCTCCCCTTCACCCACGCACCTATATCCTCCACATGCTCCAGGTAGGTAGTCGCTGTACTCGCGCAGAGTTCGAAACTCATGATCGCCTCCTCACTCTCTGATCTGACCAATAGGGCGCTCCTGCCCCTCATTCACTCCCTCACCTATATCCTCTACGTGCTCCAGGTAGGTAGTCGCTGTACTCGCGCAGAGAGCAGCGCACCCCCCTCGCGCCATCCACTCATTAGCCCCTCCCCTCACTCACTCCCTCCACTCCCTCACCTGTATCCTCCACGTGCTCCAGATAGTCGTTGTACTCGCGCAGAGACCAACACACCCCCCATTCACTCATTAGCCCCTCCCCTCACTCACTCCCTCCACTCCCGTACCTATGTCCTCCACGTGCTCCAGGTAGTCGTTGTACTCGCGCAGAGATGGAAAGTCGTCCTGCAGCTTGTTGTACCTGGTGTGGGTTGTGGCGAGGCGAGGTGTGGCGAGGCGAGGTGTGGCGAGGAGGGGAGGTGAGGAGGGGAGGTGAGGATGGGAGGTGAGGAAGGGGAACAAGGAGGGTAATAGACTCACAACACCATCACCACCATCACCATCACCATCACCATCATCACTCACACTGCCATCATCACCAGCAGCATTCCTCACACGGCGTGGATTCGTTTCCGCACCGCCATCTCCTTGGCTCTCCCGCTGCGCTCATGCCTGCCGGCTGCTACCGACGGCGGGAGCAGGAGAGCCCTCCCGCTGCGCTCATGCGTTCAACACACTCCCACATCCCGCTTCGTTTCCGCACCGCCATCTCCTTGGCTCTCCCGCTGCGCTCATGCGTTCAACACACTCCCACATCCCGCTTCGTTTCCGCACCGCCATCTCCTTGGCTCTCCCGCTGCGCTCATGCCTGCCGGCTGCTACCGACGGCGGGAGCAGGAGAGCCCTCCCGCTGCGCTCATACCTTCACCTACCCCGTGCCTTCAACACACTCCTACATCCCCGCCTTACCTGTCACCATCATCACTCACACGGCGTGGATTCGTTTCCGCACCGCCATCTCCTTGGCCAGCGGCCCTCCCGCTGCGCTCATGCCTGCCGGCTGCTGCTGACGGCCGTTCGTGCTGAAGGTCCGCTAGTGCTGTCTCGCTGCTCTCTCACTGCCGCCGGCGGGTGTTGCTGCTAGGAGAGCTGATGATACGACCTGTAGATGCGATGAGTTGATGCGTTACGCCGCGGTACGACGTGGTACGGCTATCGTGAAGCACGAAAGCTGGCTGTTTCAAGGAGTCATGGTTGAGTGGGAGAGTCCGTGTCCCGGACCAACTTCTGGGCCAAGCTATGGAGCTCTATCGCATCGTGGTTCATGGGCTCATGTGATAGTCGCGGCTGCTCCACGATGCGTGCGGCTGGACTCTCCTCTACCACGAGAACTCTCAGAAACTCTTCAAAATTCGCTTCTTCGTCCAATAATTCTTTTTGCTACCTCGTTTCTCTCCTTCGTCTTAATATCTCGTCACCTACCTATTCTCTCGACGTGCATTGCACGTTTACGCCCAGGCGGGCCTCTTGAATCCACGGATGAGGAGGAGCCTACTACCTATTTCGCGTCTGATCTCTCCCTAGTTTCACTGTGCTTCCGTTCTGGCTGAATTTTGTGTTGTGAGGAGGATGACCAAGTTGTACGCGTTTCCAGATTACTCGCTTCACAGCGTTTTTCCAATGCATCGACGGATTCTTGCACGTTTGCTTTTCAGAAGTAGCTGACTGAAAGTAGCGCTCTGGAAAAAAATCCTTTCCAGTTTCTAGAAAAAAAACTAGAAAGCGGCCAATCTCACTTCGGTGAAGTAGAAAGGGAAAACATTGTTATAAGGAATTATGTCTCCACTCCACAGCCGACTGGCCAGTCATGTCTCATCCACACCGAGCTACTACCAGCCAAGCCAAGCAAGGTATGGTATGGTACCACCCTAACAGTCTAACCCTACCCCATATCCAAGATTCCACGATTCCATTCGGTAGACATTACCAATGGCGCCTTTACCAGCCATCGCCCCCATGCCATCAACTCCAAATTCCCCTTCCTCTCTCAACGCCTCAAACCCAGCTTCCAGCCCCTTCCCTTCACAGACATTCCCAGACTCCCTCCTCCCACCACTCCCTCCGTTCCATTTTCTCTCCCATGAACCAGCAGCACCACTCTACCGCCATCCACCAACCATACCAATCAAATAACACCTCCTTTTCCACCCTCATCCCTCTCCGCCCAAGGCGCAGCTCTGGAACCAAAGCTCTAGCGACAGTGCATGCAATGTACCGTGTAAGCCTCCACTTGACTTCTCCAACCTTGTCCTGTCATCATGGCACCACTATCAGCGCGCCACCTTCCTCCTCTTTTCCCCTTTTCACCAACTCATCCCCTCTTCCCCTCCCCCCCTCTTCCCCTGCTCCCCTCCGCTCCACCTCCGCTCTTACCCCGAATCCCTGCACCCTTGCTTCGCATTGGCATGGCACTTTTCCCCCATTAGCCACTAAGCGCACCACCCTTGCCCCTCCCCGCTTTTTCCCCTCTCCTCCCCGTCCGTCCCCCCTAAACCCCCAAACCCTGAACCCCCCAACCCTGTCATCACCTCTCCCCCTTTTCCCTGCACTCCCTCCCCCTTTCCCTCCGCTCTCCCCCTCCCGCGCATCAGTATCGCCCCTCCTGGGGGAACGGCAGCGGAACCTCCTCCGCATTTGCGTAGAACTCCTCTAGGCGGTAATAATCGCGCTCCTTAGGCGTGAACAGATGCACTACCACGTCGCCATAGTCTAGTAGCGTCCACGCGCTTCCCCCGCGGGCGCTCCCGCCGCTCCCCCTATCCCCGCCCTTCTGCTCGCGCGCGAACCCCGGCGACTCCGCCACGTCGCGCATGCGCTTCGCTATAGCGTCCATCTGCGCGCGCGAGAAGGCCGTCGCTATAACGAAGTACTGCGTCCAGTACACGAGCGGCCGCACGTCCAGCGCGATAATATCACTCCCCTTAGCGTCACTCGCGGCGACAGCCAGAGCGACCGCGAACGCCTCGCTCGCCTCGTCCGAATCCGGCGGGAAACGCGGCGCGGCGGACGATGCTTCTTCCGCGGCTCGTGACGCAGCAACTGCGCTGCTGACGGCAACAACCCCGTTAATACCACCCTCGCTACCATCATTCTGCTCATCTTCATCCCCGGTATCATCCTCTTCTCTTAAAAGCTTGTACCCAGCGCTGCTGCCGCTCGTATCCTCTTTAAGAGTCTTCCCATATTTATCAAAGAGCTCGT